TGGATTTGAACTCAGATCCTGCTGACTCTAGCATTATAGGAAGCCATCCTCCTGATCGGCAGTACCTCCTTCCCCCGGCATCTCTCTTTGCTCGTGGTGGAGCCCGGATGAGAAAGTGCAGACATCTGGCAAAGCCTGCACTGTTTCTCGCTGGTGTGGCTGCTGGCATCTTCCTCCTCCGCCCAGGTCCCTGTGAGGGCGCCGGCAGGTCTGGCCAGCTGCCACTGCCTGAGAAGAGAACACCAGCAATCAATCGATCCATCAGGAAGCCTTGATGAGATGCCTGCCTTGTGCCTGGCACTGTGCGAGGTAGATGAGATGCAGACTGGCAAAGCCACGGCCCCCACCCTCCATGATCTCACCTTCTAATGGGAGGGTCCTGTCTTGCAGGGTCATCCTTGTAGAGCCGGGAGCTTTCCCTATTGGGCAGAAGGGAAACTTAGGAAGGCCCCTAGGGGCTGGTGGTGGAGCTGGGATTTGAAGCGGGGTCCACGGCCCTCTCTGCTGGGCTCTGAAAGGACAGCCCTGACCCAGGAGCCAATACACCTGGTCGGGGAAGAGAAAAGAAAAATCAGTGCTGGTGGCAGGTAGGCTGAGCTCGGAAACAGGAGAGGCTGGTCCGCCCAGGAAAGCTTTCTGCTGATTCAAAGCCGCAAGTCAGCCTACTTGTTAACTGAAGCCCCGGCTGGCGGTCGAGGGTGGGAAAGGGAAGGACTGACTGAGACATGGAAAATTCCCTGATTGGGGTCAGGAGGCAGAGGGCCCTGGTGGGCACACTGGCCGAGCTGCGCTTCTCAGTGTGACCCTTGGCCCTTGTCAGAGGTGGCTGCATGGCACTGGGGCTGAGACCCTCCCACTCAAGCATGGGAGGAACATTCTATTGAGCAGCCGTGACCCTAGAGTGGGGCTCCCAGGAGGCCAGGGAGACACGAGGCTTTCTTTGGGTTTGGGTTCTGATTTGTTTTTTGTTTTGTTTTGATGAGGCAACTGGAGTTAAGTGACTTGCCCAGGGTCACACAGCTAGTGAGTGTTATGTGTCTGAGGCTGGATTTGAACTCAGGTCCTCCTGACTCCAGGGCCAGTGCTCTATCCACTGGGCCACCTAGCTGCCCCCCTGGGTTCTGTTTTGTCTGTCCCTGTTGAAGCTTTAACAGTAATAACACCAATAATAATACTTATTATAATAACTAGCTTTGAGATAGTGTTTTGAGCTTTGCAAAACACCTTCCACGCAGTGTCTAATGTGGTCCTTGCAATAACTTTACAGTTAGGTAGGTACCATTATTATCCCATCTTGCAGGCTTTTTACAAACTGATTGATGTTAAGTGACCTGCTTAGAGTCACACTTGTAGTATCTGTTTGAGGCAGGATTTGAACTCAGGACTTCCTGACCCCAAGTCCAGCATCAGCTGCCCGCCAGCCTCATGTGCTGGGCCCTGCTTTGAGTTCCCCGAGGTCGCAGGCGCAGAGAGCCCCGACTTCACGAGGTCGGGCCGGTTCCAGTGTTACTGAGAATCCCTCTCCTGCTTTCTCCTTCACGCGTGGGTTAGAGGGTTTGGGTTCAGATTGGAGGGGCTCATCAGCTGTGGATTTGCAGGGAGCAGCCCCGGGTTCCGATTTTGGCTGTTGTTTTGCTGTGAGACCGTGTTTCCTCCTCTGTGCATGAGGGGGCTATGCCGGGGGTCTGGGGTCTCTTCCCCTCCAAGCAGCCACTGCCTTCCCCAGCCCTGTCTTCTCACCTCTCAACACGGAGCCCGTGGCCTGTTTCCCACAGGTCGGCTTCTGGGGGCTTCTTGTCACTGGGTGAGGATGGACAGCCAACATGGCCTTGATCCACCTGGTTCTAGGCTGGGATGGAAACGGCCGGAGGAGGGAAGAATGGGGTCCAGCGATGGGCGAAGCCTCAGCACTCTTCAGTTGGGATGTGCCCGGAGCCTCCAAGAACGTCAGTGTAGGGGGCATTTGGGAGGACCTGAGTTCAAATCCAGCCTCAGACACTTAACACTTACTAGCTGTGTGACCCTGGGCAAGTCACTTAACCCCCCTCACCTCACCAAAAGAGCAAAATAAATAATAATAATAATAATAATAATAATAATAATAATAATGATAATAATAATAACATCAGTGCGGGGCCTTCGGGTGCCAGCAGACCTGGCAGCCCAGCTCCCTCCCTCCTAGCTCCTCCTGGCAGGGGGCAGTGGACAGAGGACTGAGGTGGGCTGATGTTGTCTCATCTTTGACTAGGGGCTCGCCTTCTAGGAGGAGAGGTGATGATATCGCCGGGCTTCTTTCATCTCAGGAAGGAGGTTTTTCCTGGGCTTAAATGCCAGGCTGCCACCCACAGTTTGTGCGTCTGCCTGTAAAGCAGCTCCTTGCTTGGCACCAGGGGCGGCTGGGCATAGCAAAGGGATCCTGGACTCATGGGGGCTTGTGGCTCCCTGGCATCACTGGCTCGGGAAGCCTTGAGTCAAGGTTAGGGCAGGGACCAGGTGCAGTGACAGATGCTTGAACCCTTGGGATGGGGCTGTCCCTCCTTTCATCTCTGCCTGAGCAGTACAGAGCATCTCTTCACAGGTGGCCTCTCCAGGGACCTCACAGCCGGGAGCTACTCAGTGTGACCACAATCAATGCTCACGCAGCCAGCCTGGCAGGTGGGCTGGCTGAGAGCTACTGGCCTTCACTGCCCAAAGTATGGCTCATGGGCCAGGAGAACTGGGGCCCAAAGGGGAGAGTGGGGGCACCCTGGATGTAAAAGGACCTTCACCCCAGTCTGGGCTCTTTGGAGGAGCCGGGGTTCCGATGGGCTTGATCCTCCATCACAGAAGAGATCAGGACCCTGCTGAGTCAAGCGGCACAGACCCAGGCATTCAGAGGTCACCCACCAGCTCAGAGAGCCCAGAAGAATGGCAAAGCATCAGTCATTGAATTTATGAAATACCTCCCATGTCCCAGGCCCTGTGTGAGGTCCCGGTACTGCAAAAGCCAAGTAGACCAGGGCCTGCCAGGCCCCAATACTTCCGAGGTAGGTGTATCTGAAACAGACAGTGGGTCGTTTAGGAGAGAGGAGGGCAGGGAGGCCAGGAATGGCCCAGGGAGAAGGAAGCTGGCGGCTGAGCCTGGACGGAATCTCAGAGGGGAGGAGGAGGGAAGGGATTTCAGGCATGGGGGTGGGGCAGCCTCACAGATGAGGAGCCTGACTAAGGCCAGTGTGGAGAGTAAGAGCCCCTCGCATGGAAATGGGATTAATTTCAGAGGCTGTGGCAATCTTTCCTTCTTTCTTTCTTTCTTTCTTTCTTTCTTTCTTTCTTTCTTTCTTTCTTTCTTTCTTTCTTCTTTCTTCTTTCTTTCTTTCTTTCTTTCTCTTTCTTTTCTTTCTCTTTCTTGTCTTGGCAATTGGGGTTAAATGACTTGACCAGGTTCACACAGCTAGTAAGTGTCAAGTATTCGGTCTGAGGCTGGATTTGAACTCAGGTCCTCCTGACTTCAGGGCTGATGCTCTATCCACTGTGCCACCTAGCTGCCCCGATGAGTAGCTCTTGAGAATCAGATTCTGGGCACGTGCACTGGGTGAGCTGAGCCAGTCACCATGGAGCAGGGAGCACTGGAGCAGCCGCTGGGGCTTCTGGCCAAGCCCCTGGGGGGCCTGGACGCTGGCAGCCAGGGATGAAGAAGGAGCCGGATTCAACGCGAGGCCAAGGGCCACCTCTCAGGCTCTGGGGATGCCACGTTGACAGAAAGTAGTTTTTGTCAAAGGAAATTGAAATTACTGTTTCAGAAGCAGGAAAAAGGACTGGGAGAAATGCCAGGAACAGACAAGAAACTTACACAGCTTACCTCATTGAGACCAGATCAGTTCAACCAAGTGATGGCCAGAGTGTCCTTACAGACTCTCTTTGGAGATGGTATAGTGAATTGAATTATTGAGAAACCGTTTGCTAGTTTACTATACACATATCGTTGTCCCACCTCTGCCTGAAAAGAGGGCAGAATATGTTTGGTATAAATGCTCTGCAGACAACATGAATCCTGATTTTGTGGAAAGATGAAGAATTGGTTCGTAAAACTTTTTTTTAGAAGTGGCTTCAACTTCTGTCCTTTCTGAAGACAGAATCTTCTATCTGTTTTTAACACAGGAAAATAACCGGAAGGAGACAGTGAATGAAACAGGGTTCCAGCTAAAGGCAGATTCCAGGTGAAAAACCCAGACAAGAGATTTACCAAGCTAGAATGCCACAGTGATGAACTACAGTCTGTCATGTCACAGCCTCTTTGAATCAGAGCAGGAGTGGCAGACCGACTCTATGGTGTCTACAAAGTTCACGGAAATTATAGCAGAGTTTTCAGCAAATGGAGTGCCACAGAAAAAGAAAGAGGAGATGGGCGACAGAGTGCAGGACATCATGCGGGTGTATATGCAGCTTCTATTGATGATATGTTGGGAGAGGAGGAGCATTATGTTAATCAGCTGAAGGAATACCTTTTCTATGCAAAAGCATTGAGAGAGATTTGTAGGAAACATGACTAATGAGTTGGAAAGGGCAACTCAGGATCTGGCATCCAAAGAGCAACAGCGTGAAGAGCTCGCAGCAGGGACTGTGAGGACATTCTCCCTGAAAGGAATGACTAGTAAGCTGTTCAGTAAGAAACTCCAGAGCCAAGAGAAGCCAGAATAAAGGTGCTAGAGGAACAAACAAATGAAAGAGAAGAAGAACTGAAGTCTAAAAATCTTCAAGGCAGAGAATTTGTGAAGCTGCTTGGGCAGATACTGAATGCTTCAAAGAGCAAAAGAACCATGATTTAAAGGAGGTTCTTTTAAGAGAATCAGATTCTGAAGGCTAAAAGAGAAACGGCTCCAATGAGGAGGAAATGGGGAAGTGGTCTACAATTGGTGTACAGAAAACTCATCAGTTTCATGAAGGAAATGTTTATTAAGCACTTCCTATGGTCAGAGCAGCTTCCTAGGTGTCAAGAAAAACAAAAGCAAAACACTTCTGGCCTTCAAGGGGGAAAGGAAGCTGAAAAATAAAACATACGCTTAAAAGAGAAAATGTAGTCTACAAACACGGTGGAGGCGATGAATGGAGATGACCCTGTCTAGAAATTTGACTCTGAAAAGGAAAACAGAGGATGAGAGTGTGGGGGATGGCAGTGATCACTAAATCAAGCCAAGTAATGATCAGCTGTTCTGCTTTTTGGTGGAGGGAGAGGAGAGCCAGAGACGTGGAAACAGAGACAGAGACAGACGGAGGAAGGGAGAACGTGCGAGCAGATGTCTGGGCAGCTGACTTCCTCCAGCACTGTCCTACCCCTCTCTGTTGGGCTTGCCGTCCTTTCTCGAGCTCTTCAGAGTTAGGGTCAGACAATAGGGGAGGCTCAGGGACATGGTGGTCTGCAGTACACTTGGATGACAACTCCCCTCTGGATTTGCTCCCGTTGATCTCAACCTGCTGCTCACCATGGGCTCCTCAGTATTTCTGGTACACGGATTTCCTCATATGCATGTGTCTTCTTAAATGACAACATACCCTTACCCTCTTTGCCCTCTTTTTTCTTTCAGGGCAAACTGCATCTTTCCAAAGCTAGATTCCAGGAAGGAGGTCCTTCTAGCAAGTCTCAGTGATACCAAAGAGATTGAGCTTGTGGAAAGAGGGGTAGATGTGGAGTCAGAGGACTTAGGTGTGAGCCCCAGGGATCACTCCAGGGGGACTTGAAGCTCGACTGGCTGGCTGAAAACCTGGCAAGGCCTCTGATCCCAAAGCTGTTCTGTCGACTTCGTGTATCTCCACGGCCCCATTTGGGTTTTTCTTGGCAGAGATACTGGAGTGGTTTGCCGTTTCCTTCTCCAGCTCATTTTACAGATGAGGAAACTGAGGCAAACAGGGGGAACTGACTTGCACAGGGTCACATAGCTGGGAAGTATCTGAGGCCAGATTTGAACTCAGAAACATGAGTGTTCTTGACTCTAGGCTCAGTACTTTATCCATTGTGGCACCACCTGGTTCCCACAGTTGCCTTCTTTTTTTTTTCTTTTTTTAGGGGGAGGGCTAGGCAATGGGATTAAGTGACTTTCCCAGGGTCACACAGCTAGTGTTATGTGTCTGAGGCTGGATTTGAACTCAGGTCCTCCTGAATCCAGGGCCAGTGCTCTATCCACTGTGCCATCTAGCTGCCCCCACAGTTGCCTTCTAATAAAAGTCCTGAGAGTTGATGTCAGCCTGCAAATAAACCAAGAGAAAAAGAGAAAACTGAGCCTGGGACATAGGCCAGAGATAATAAGTAGATTATCACCGTATGCTCCCCAGCAGCCAGCCCACAGACCAACCTCAGACCATTCACACCTTCAGTTTTCTTATTTCTCCCTTCAAGAATGGTATATCAATTTAAGAGCAGGGAGAGAGGTTAGTGGTCATCTATCCCAGTCCCTTCATTTTACGCAGGAGGAAGCTGAGGCCTGGGAAAAGCAGCAGTCTCATGTCCTTTACAATGGCCAGTTGACACTAAAGATGTATCTCTTGTAACATACACTCAGAGCGAGGGACAAGTAAGGAAAAGCCTTGGTCCCTACTGAAGGTTCAGAGACCCGAAAGAATAAGACTGGACTTATGAGAGAACATGGAGTGAAATTGTAATCAGTTACTTCTTTTAACCATTCATTCAGAGGTTCTCAAACTTATTTGGCCTACAGCCCCCTTTAAAAAAATTACTCAGTGCCGCCCTAGAAATCTACTTTCTTTAACCCTTTAACTGTTAATTTCTCTTTTTTTTTTTGAAATTTGCACCTTTTCAAAAAATATAAAATATATATATTTTAAGAAATGGTACATCTTAAATTTAATAATTTATTGTAAATTGTGTTTTTTTCCTGCATTAAAATTTTGATGATGCAATATTGTGTTATGGAACTGAATAGTATTGTATTATAAACAAATCCTTACATGCACATATTGCTGCCATTGCATGCTGGACTTCTCGGCAACTCATGACATGCTCACCTGCCAATACCTGCTTGTTAACACCTATCGGTAGACTTGACCACTGACCAGTTATAACTTGCATTTTGTGTGTTTATTTGGAAAAAATGTAATCACTATGAGTTTAACTCTGTTACACAACAGAGAAAACACGTATGAATGGCTTTTCAAAATTTTCTTCTCTTTTTTCCTTATGCTTTCACTGCCCCCTTATTTTATTCAGTGCCCCCCGATTGTACCTGAGGCTACTACCACTAGCACCCCCCCAACCCCCCGGGGATGGTATTGCCCACTTTGGGAACTTCTGCAATTAATTAATTTAATCATAGATTTACAAACCTCTATCCAATCAGAAAACTTGGCAAACATGTTACTCAAGATTTTGTAATTTGTCTCAATTCCTCTTTATTGACTATAAGTATGCTCTGGACACTCTTCAAAGTGTCCTTGGCTACTTGGACCCCATTTATTGGGAACTGATAGTTTTGCTAACAGATTGATTGTGCTCTGAACTTTGTGCCTCAATTTCTCTTTATTACAGATTTTTATCATGACAATTGGTGATCCAGATGGGATCTGAGTGAGGGACTCTGAGCCCTGAGGAAACCTTTCCAGATAACTCTCCTAAGTACTCCAATTGATCTTCTTTTCCACAGAAGACTGTCTTGGAGGTTGGACACCCCTTGGGTTCAAACCAAATTCTTCTGAGCTAAGGTAAGGTAAGGTTTTCCCATTACTGGAAAAACTCTCCTAAAATTCCTAGGAATTAGGGAATTCCCACAGCCTGGGTGGAGAAAGTCCTTCCCTAAAAGCCCTTGGGAAGGCCCCCTTAAGGGAGATAAAAGCCCCTTCAAGGTTGCGTAAGGCCTTCCTATTGAGAAGGCCCTTTAATATAGTGGCTAGCCCACAGTACCTAAATTAGCAGAGTCTAGAAGGGTAGACAGTTCTCCCAGCTAGCAGACACTTAACTCCCACTAATTCCCCAATTTTTTTTTCTCTTTCTTTCTGTGATTGGGTCTGTCAATTATAGACAGATTGTTTTTAGTGAGAGTTAGGGAGGAAGATTTTGCTTCTTGGCGTTTGGGGGCAACTGAAGACCTATAGTAGGGTCAAAAGGTTCAGCTGGCAAATTCAAATTATTAGGCTGAGATACATGAAAATCCACATGGGTCCCTAATCTGGCCCCCAAAAGGAACTTTTCAATGACTGTAAACTGAAACTTTAAGATTGTCATAGAAAAATAATTATGCACACTGACCTTTGGATTAAACTGATTAGAGATACAAAAGAAAAACCTTGCCAGGAAGTATCCCTCTATGTCTATTTATCTGTGTTTTTATTTTGATAATTAAACCAACCTTTTCCTGTGGTCTGGTCAACCAAAAGAAAAATGATATAGAGAGTTAAAACTTTCTGCAGAACTTCAAAAACTTCTCTCTCTGCATTTCTGGCTCAGGCCAAGCTGGGTGGTGGCAGTGCAGACAAGAGGCACAGATAAGAAGGCAGGAGTCTTTGTTCCCAATCTGTAGAAAAGTAAGTGACATTATAAGCTAACTAGGGACCCAAAGTTGTTTCCTGTATTATAAACTTCCAAATTGTGGGTAGGACACTTTCATCACTCTTTACCTAGCCAGAAAAGAAAACTGAATGTAGTGAGTTTCAGAGTGCTGGCAACTTGTAGTTTGACCACAGAAAGAGAAAATGTTGTTTTAAAATCAGGAAGCAACTGAAAAGTCAGTGAAATTTAATGTATTACTGTATTTTAAAAGAATTGTTTAGGGAATTAGGAACATTGTCTTCAGTGGAAGTGAAAATTAGTTCAAAATTGTATTTCAATAGAACTGTAATAAGTGAAGTCATACTAAGTAGGGTAAGCATTACTGAAGACAGAATTGTATGAGAATATACCATTATAAACAGATGTGTGCTCACCTAATGTGGAGGGGGCTGTGCTACAAAAAGAGCAAACTAAATAGAGGTACATGTGACTTCTGAATGCATAGAGGGAAAGTGCTGGAGTTTTGATACAGCACAGGGTGTTTTTTACCTCATTGTCTTTGGTACTAAAACAAACATTTTATAGAATTAAATTGGTAAAATTATGAGCTCTATGAAATACTGTTTTTCAATGGTTCAATTCTTGTTAATTCTGATTAGTTTTTGAAACCAAAATTAACAGATATTTTAAACCAAGAAATGATTATGCTGAAAATCAAATAATTTCTCTAATGCAAGTTATTGATGAGCTTTGATAATGGGGCAAATTTAATTGTAGCTCAAAAAGGATAATAATCTGCTTTACTGTCAAAGAGTTGTTGAAATTATATATCGCCTTAAATGTCAAAGAATTTATTGTTGTTTAGTCATATCTAATTCTTAGTGACCCCATCTGGGGTTTTCTTGGCAAAGATACTGGACTGGCTTGCCATTTCCTTCTCCAGCTCATTTTACAGATGAGAGAAGTGAGGCAAACAGGGTTAAGTGACTTGCCCAGGGTCAACATAGCTAGTAAATGTCTGAGGCCAGATTTGAACTTATGAAAATGAGTCTTTCTGATTTCAAGTCCAGTGCTCCATCCATTGTACCACCTAGCTGCCCAACAGTCAAACATACTGTTGTCTGCAATTGTCTTAATTAAGTGAATTTCAACAATTGTAGTCTCAGCATCATTTTTCAATTTGTATGATTAGGAATTATTTAAACCAATTAATTTTGTAAAATTAAAGTATAAGCTACTTGATAACAGTGGGCTCTTGGTATAATTGAGATCTAAATATTATCAGCATGGATCATGAATCTATACTTGATTTGGTCAAAATTTTGTTCTGTAACTAAATTATAACTGTGGCATATCAGGGGATTTAGTACCAGATACATTTGTTAGAGGTGATAATGCTGGAAAATACATGAATCAAGCAAACCAAAATTAAATCCAGCCTCAGAAAGTTATCAGTTATGTGACTTTAACTGAAGATTTATATAAATTGCTTTATTATAGGTAAAGGTAATAATAAATAATACTGTCCAACTCCCAGGGTTGTTAGGAAAAGAAAACGATTGTAAAGTGCTGAGCACAGTGAGCACTGTCCACACGCTGCCTGTTCCTCTTGGGTATGGGGTTAAATAGCATATCAGACAAGTGATTGTCTAAGAAGGATAAGTTAAAATTGTTTCAACAGCATTGCTGTGATTTACTTGAGACAAAAACCATTGTATTGCTTAGATTTCTGATTTATCTTGTTCATAAAATTTCAGATACTATTTGATACCATTGTATTGTAATCAAAAGGATGAGGGACTGCACAGTTTCAATTTAGGTTAGGATCTCAAGATATAATGACACGTACTCAGTGTAAACTTAACAAACAATCACATTTATTTTACAACGATTAATCATGATTAAAGCAAAACACACACATAAAGATGAGAAAAACATTCAATATAACAAGTAATAATCAAAATAAAGAAAAGGGGGCATAAGAAAGGAAAGGATACAAACTCACTGACCAGGTGTGCTCAAATACCTAACAGACCAGGGAGACTGAAGAACGGCCCAGAGCTCTGGGCAGGGAGGCAATGGAGTGGCATCCCACTCTGACTCAACAGAAGCCGTGCACACGATCCACTTCTGAACACAACAGAGATTCGGCATCCCTACCTCTGACATCAAAGTACTCTAAAAATCCCCTTCCAAATGACTCCTTTTATATCTACATGAACAAGGGAAAAACAATCTTGATATTTTGTTTTGAGTACACATCCTTGGTGAGCTCATGTCCAGGCATGCACACATCTTTAACAAAGGTTGGGGTTTGATCAGAGCCCCCAGATACCTTTTTGTTGTGCAAGTCTCCAAGAAGTGATCAATTCCTTGGACAGTCACACACCTTTCTCAAGAGAAATGTTTCTTGAGATGAATTGCTTTCCCAGGTAACATAGTTTGTTTGTTATTTAATGTTCCATCTCCACGGTCACCTTGGCCATGCATGGTAACTCCCATTTATCTTTATGTCAGGTCATGAGGTGCTTACGACAGGGGCCTGGGGAGAATCTATCCTCCTCAATTTCCCTGACATGTTATTACAGAATTGAACTCTCTTTTAATTAGGTGACTATGCTTTTAAAGACATACTATTATGTGAAATAATTTTTTCTAAAATATTGTGAAATGTTGTTAGAGAACTAATTTCTTTACTGAGCTAATAAAATGAAAGTGTTAATAGTCTTTGAAAACTGTGAAAGAGTTTATGTTGTGAATATCTAAACCATTGAACTGTGCCTTTACAATCAGCTGAATTGAGGTCTTTTAGCTAAAATAAGTTTTGTTTCTTATAAATTAGACTGCTGAAAGATAGCAACATTGTTTAAAAATATTAAATACTCAATAGATTATAATTTCCTTGAAATTAGATAACTCTATATTGGGTTTTTAGATGTGATTGAATGTGATTAATAAAATACCAAAGGAGGTAGGAAAAATTGTTGAGGGGATGACCTTGGAATAGACTAAGGTAAGATCTTCTTGACTCAGTTTCTCATTGTGCTACTTCCTTTGTGAATGGGAAAATTTTCTGCCTGATTGATTCTGAGCCTGGCTGTAATACCATTTGCCACATATGGCTCTTACTGGGAATAAAACAGGGCTAAGGGAATTTTCCCCACATTATGGCTTATGCCCTTGAGGGGATAGTCATAACCATGTCCTTCCTTTTCCTCTCATAGGAAATTTTTATAATCAGGAGAATTGACTAACTTCTTGTTTGATTCATCACTTGAAAAATTTGTCATGCAAACCGGCATGAGAATTATTAAAAGGTAGCACATGACAATGGCTTAGAAAATAGCTGGGTTTGAACGGGACATGATTAAGATGTAGTTTATTGGTTTAATTTATAAAGTCATACGAGTCAGCAACAAAACAAGCAAAGACTTTAAGATTGCTTTCTTTTATAATCATGCTTTCCACCCATATAGATTAAGTTTAGAAAGTAGATGATTCATGGGAGATACGTCTTCCAAGAGTCAAAGGGGGGAATTGTGAAATTGTAATCAATCACTTATTTCTTTTGCTTAGTTGATTTTGCAGGTTTGCTCTTATGAACCATGTTAGGATAAGCTACTTCAATCATGGGGAAACAAAAGTGTCTACATGACCCTGTGTGGGATAGCAGTGCTTTGGCTGCTGCTAACTCCCCTATTTCTGCAAAGCTGAGCTCCTGCAGAAATAAGCTGATGACCTAAGTTTTTAGAGCCACACAAGACTGAGAATGCCCACATCCTCAATACTGTTAATCTGTTAAAGTTCCCTTTTAGAAACCTCTGACTGCTGTCAGATACTGTCAGAACTATCTGATGTAAAATGTCCCATTAATCAGTACCTATATCTCAGTCAATCAGCAAGTAGGCTTGTTTACTCCTCAGAAACTGTACCAGTTTTCCAATTCCTTTTTCTCTATCCACTTTAGAAATAACCTGTCCAACAATTACAAAGCCTCATCCAATCAGAAAACTTGGTAAACAAGTAAAACTCAAGATTTTGTGATTTGCCTCAGTTCTTCTTTATTGACTATGTGTATGCTCTGTAAGCTCTCTGTGGGATCCGTGGATCCCATTCATTGATGCTTGCGAGCTTTGCTAATAAATCAGTCATGCTTGGAACTTTGTGGCTCAGTTTCACAGCTTTTTTTTTTTTTTGGTGACAGTGTATGGCAGTCATGAAGGCGGAGAAGACTTAGAGGGGTTGGGATCTACACCATGATGGAGATCATTGGTTTGATATAGATCTCTGGAGGGCTGGTGGGTCAGAAAAAGCCCAGCCTGATGTCTGAGGATGTGTCTCCAGGGTCTAGGGTCCCATCTGTGTGTGTACCCTTCACTAGGGCAGATTTCAAACTGCACTTAGTAGACTATTTTTGAGAAATGACATAGGTGACTTCATTCTCTGCAGAATGGTGGAGACTTAGTGATGAACCACTTAGCAGTCAGTTGAGCCAACCCTCTGAGCCAGGCATACATACACTCCAAGGGCACCCCTTTACCATATCTCTGGGTCTCATCCCCACTCCCACAGAACACAACAGAGACTGCTGATGAGAAATGTCCAGGGAAAGCCAGGATCTGGCCAGGGAGATAAGATTAGCTCACCTAGATCCTGTTTGAGGTCTCCAGAGGCAGTTGTGATAGCTTTGTCTGTCGGCCCCAAGGTTCAGGAAGCTGTGAATGCAAAATAGGGTTCAAGTGCCCTCATGAGAGCCCATGTCCACTTATCACCTGCAGATGATCTCTAGTCAGGAAAACAGCCCTGGGGGCCTCTCAATGGAAACTGTGCCATGTGAGAATCTGTTTGAAGAATGAGTATGTTCAGCCAGGAGAAAGGGGATCTCAGAGGGAACATGGGAGTTGGCTATAAATATCTGAAGTTGTGTCTGCTGGAAGAGGGATTAGCCTTATCCTGTTTGTTCCTACTGAGTTAGAGCTAATGAGAGTCTTGGGGAGAAGTCACCACTCCATTGTAAAATTCATTACTGAGAAGGAGAAGACAGCTGGGCACCCTAGATTCTAGGGGAGCAGATTTCAAAGGGTTAAGAAAAAAGGTAGGTAGGTCCCATGGGGAAACTACAGGGAAGTCAGCCCAGTAGGGAAGATCTCAAGAATGAAAATCTGAAGATGTAAACAGAAGCAACTCCAATGAGGAAGAGGAAGGGGAGCTGTCTAAAGAGACTGATGGGACCACACAGTGGACTCATTAAGCTGTGGTGACTCATAAAAGATTCTCACAGAAAATAGAAGCAAAAACAGGTAATGGAGGTTGAATGATTACAAAACTCATGCAAAAATAAGTCACAGACTCACAGAATTAGAAAGTTGGAAGGGACCCTCAGGGGTAATTAGCCCAACCAGTACAAGAAGGAACCCTCACAAGGTAAGGGTATCTGAGCACCTTTCAAGGCAGCCCATTGTACTCTCCTCCTTCCTGGCCCCCAGCCTCAATCTGCCTCTCTGCACCTTCCCCCCATTGTTCCTGGCTCTACCCTGTGGGGTCAAGCAGAATGAGCCTGATTTCTCTTTTACTTGACAGTCTCAGACACTTGAGCACCCGTGCTCAAGCACAGCTCCCATGCGCCTCTGATCTAAGTCTTCTCTTCCTCAGGCAAAACCTGCCCGGTTCCCTCCAATGATCCTCATGTGACATGGGCTCTACTCTGGAGTACTGTGCTCAGTTCTGGGGACTGCATTTTAGGGAGGACACAGCTAAAGAGTTCTCAGAGGAAAGCAACCAATAAAGTGAAGGACTCTGAGATTCCCCTGTGATAGGTGCCCTATGCAAGTCCTTGGCCATGTGTCTGCTCCAGCCCACTTTGGAAAGGCAACTTCCCACCAATATATATGAGGCACTGGGCAAAATTCCTTGATGGAGTTATTGATTGAAAGCGCAGCATATGCTCAAAAGTGTAGTTAAGAGTTTTCTCATGTACTAGACAGACTTACCAGCACCTTGTTTATTCATTATTCTTATTTTTTATATTGGTGAGCTAGGAGAGGGCTTCTAAAGGAGTAATAGGTTGACAGAGAAGTCATGCCATTCATTCACCTGCAAGGTCCTCATGTCTTCAGGGTGTTTGGCAAGGTTAGCCCTGCCTGAATGAGGAAGACTATCCCATCCCTTCCTTGTTCCCTCTTCTTTCCTCTTTCAACAAATCACAAAGCTCAAATACCCCACAATGTAGATTAGAGAATAAAAGTGATAGATCCATGTTAGGGTCCAGCCAGAGTGGGGAGTCTGATGCTGTGAGCTTTTTGTATGTCATCTCACCTGGTCCTCACAGCAACCTTGTGAGCTTGGGGCTATCACTAACCCCATATCCAAGAGGGAAAACTGAGGCTCAGAGAGGTGAATTGACTTGCCCAGGGACATATAGCTGGTTTCGGAGATAAGATTTGAACTCAGGTCTTCCTAAGTCCAAGGTAGCATCCTAGTGACTATGTCATCTGGTCTTTCTACCTCTTAAAATGCTAGAAAGTCCAAATCACAATTGAAAATTGAAAAGCCATTAACAACCACAAAAAGCAGGACTGACAAAGCACATAAGCCCAGAAGTTGGGCCACTGTGTGTGCTGGTACTGTCCTGTGACTTGGTTCTTGGATGGTAAAGCCTGTATGGCTATCAGTGATTGGCATTAGATGTGTTTTCTAGGGCCAGGCAAAAACATGCCTCTCAGATGGACACATCTGAGAGGAGTGAAGTAGCTGTGTTTTTAGCTCACTTTGATTTTTTATCTGAGCCACAGGAGGCTGTGCTTATATCCTTCAGTAAGCCCCATTAGGATGTGTAAGATTGTGTGGAGGCTCTAATGCTGGCAGGCATCCTATAACCATCCACACAGAGAGCATTTGCTACTGAGTGGTAGAAAACAAACAGGAGAGACCAAAAATCTTTCTAGACTTAGAAAATTAGCCCCTTGAACTCAGAACACATGCCATATAAAGACTGGTTGAAAGCACTGGGGCCATTGGGCCTGGGGAAGTTGTATATGTGTGTGTGGGAAAGGGGACAGAGCATGATAGAAGTTCAGTCATGTTGGAGAGGTATTAGACCATTTTGCCTGGCCCCAGAGGGTTGAGCTAGGAACCATGGATGGATATCGGATGGAAGTAGATTTCAGCCCCTGAGGTTCTACGACTGTTCAGGTAGACCAGGCTTGAGTCCTATCCCACATGAACAACACCTACGGGGTCAAACTTGCCTGTATGTATTAGGACCTAGGTTGTCCATGGTGACCTATGAAACGAGGAAAAATATCAAATGATCCTTTCTCCTTCAGTGATGGTGGCAGAAAAGGATGCCAAGAACCACACAGCTTTTAGACCACCTATAAACCTTAACTTAGCTGATGGTTCTATCTGTGAGGTCCTTGCCCAACTACCAGTGACAGGACATGCTCCTGAGGGACCCGATTAATTACAAAGTGGGGCTTTTTGAGCATCAGTGAAGCATTAATTTTTTTTTAATGGACATAATTTTATTTTCTCTCCTCCTCCTATCCTGTCAATCTTGATATTATCCCAATGAACCAAACTGGAAGATATGCAGAAGCTTCAGTTAAAAAGAAAGCTATCTCCTAGGTCCTCTTTGGAAAAACTGTGGATGTTGTGCAACCCAAGGCAATAAGAAACCTCCTTTTATGAGACATTCGGTCACTTCATCTTGTAGAACTCATGGTGAGCATATACCAAAAAACCACCAGGAATATAATGGCATTTAGTGCCAACACCCACTGTGGAGAATGAAGGTGACAAGCTGCGTGAAGGACTATAGCCCCTCCAAAAGAAATTCACACATCCTTTGAGAGCGCACAACTTGGCAAACCATGCTGGAAAATCCTGCTCAGGTACAAGAAATCAAGGAAGCTGGGATCTGGAGGTTGTCAATGTGGGAGCCATTCTGTAGCACTGACTCGTTAGAACAAGGACAAAGCTCAAAGCCAAGTTGGAAGACTAAAGTGGAGAAAGAGGGTGCGCAATGAAACAACTCCAATCTGATCTATTTATACAAGTTATTGATGTCACAACCAATTATCTCCATTTCCAAAGGATGTTTAACACATGTAAATACGTTGGCACAACAGGGAGACCAAAAGCACCGAGAAACCACCTGAGCCAGCAAACACCCCTTCTCTTTGCCAAAGGGAGAGAGAAGCAGCCAAGGGCAGTGCTGGTTTAGGGTATAATCTTGCTTGTGAAATCTCATAGATGAGAGTGATAGAAAATAATTCAATTCAGTTTAGTTCAACAGTCATTCTTTTAATGCCTCCTCTATGCAAGACATGTTGGGAATGGCGGGGACACAAAGACAAGACAAAGTGGTCCTTACCCCTGAAGACTTTTCATTCCATGAAAAGAGGGAGGAATTGAGCACGCAAAAAGATAAGTAAATACAAAGTAATTTGATAGAAGGAGGACAGAATCAGAGAAGGCTTTTTGTAGGGGGAAACACATGATTTAAGTCTCAAAAGAAGCCAGGGGTTCTTAGGGATGGGTAAATTCCAGATCTGGGGAAGGCCTGTACAAGGACACCAAGATGGAAGACAAAGTGTCAAGTCTGAGGAGGAGCTGGTGGGCTGGTTTGACTGGGCCATCAAGTCTAGGAAGAAGGGCAGTCATGTGAATGAAGACTGGAAAGGTAGGCTAGAGCCAAATTGTGAGGGGTTTGAAGCTCCTGAATAAGGAGTGAGAATTTTATGCCAGAGGCAATAAAGAACCAGTGAAAATTCTTGAACGGGGGGGGTGACATGAGGAGACTTTTGCTTTACAACAATTGTTTTGCCACTTGTATAGAAGATGGAACAGAGAGGGGGGAGAGAAGTCCAATTAGGAGGTTGTTATAATGGCTTAAGACCAAGAAGATGAGGTTCTAAGTTAGAATGTGACATGGTACAGTGGAAAGAACACTGACTCTGGAGTCAGAGGACTTTGGTTCAAATCTTGTTATAGGTGTTTATTACTTGTGGGACCTTGGGTACTAAAACAAATCACCTCCATAGACCTCAGCTTTCTCATCTGTAAAATAAGGGGGTTGGACTAGATGGCCTCTGAAATGCCTTCTAATTCTAGAGCTATGATCCCATGATACTGATGTGGTGTGAGGGGAGAAGAGGGGGCAGACAAGATGTTGCGAAGGCAGGATTGATCAAACTTGTCAATGCATTGTGTGTAGGGGGAGGGGTGAGGGAGAGAGAAGTGAGGAGGATGATTCCAAGGCAGTAAACTTGAGTGAATGGAAAGATTGGTGGCAGCCTCAGCAGAAACAGGCAAGTTTGGAGGAGGGGTGAGTTTAAGGGGAAAGAGCATGAGCTCTGTTTTAGACATGATGAGTTGAGATGTCTATGGAACATTCAGTAGCTCAATGTCGTGATGCTAGACTGGAGTTCAGGAGAATTATTAGGGTCGGATATATAGGTGATACAGGTCAAGATAGAGGATAGAGGAGAAGAGAATGGAAAGTGAAGGGGGAAAGGGAAGGTGGGAAAGAGAAGAGAGAGGAAGAGGGGGAAAGAAGAAGAGGACAGAAGAGAGAAGGAAAGGAGAAGAATCAGTCAATAAAAATGTATTGAGTGCCTACTACGTGCCAGGCACTGTGATAAGTTCTGGGGATATAAAAAAGAGGCAAAAGACAGCCCTTGCGTTCAAGGAGCTCGCCATTAATTGAATGGAGGAGAAATAAAAATGATAATTGAATCCATGGGAGCTAGTGGGGTTCCCATCATAGATGGCATAAAGAGTTAAGAGAAGAAGGATTTGGGGGACACAAATGTTTAATGAATGGAAGATGAGTAATAATCCAGCAAAGAAGACTGAAGAAGAGTAGTCAGATGGCTAGGAGAGCCATGAGAATTAGTGTCATGGAAGCTAAGGGAGGAAGCAGTATATAGGAGTAGATGGCTAACAATGTCCAAAGCTGTAAAGGGTTTTTTAAACAGTATTAGGAATGACAAAAGGCCCTCAGACTTAGTATTGAAGAGATCACTGGTCATGTGGGAGAGAGCAGGTCAGAAACCAGATTACAAGGGTTTAAGAGGTGACAGCTTGGAAGAGTGAATAGAGGATTGGCCACCATTCGCCCGCCATCCCTGACCACTGTCATGTGACCAGCCCGTCTCTTCGCGTCACAAAATTGCTTGGCAGCATCTTTGACTCCGGTTCTTTGAAGTTGCTTGTTGCTAGCATGGTAGCCTGATCGCCCCCACGGCGTGCCTCTTCCTCACACAGCCCTGTGTGGCGCTCATCGCCGAACCTTCAGGTGGCTGTACTCTTCGTCTCAAAGCCATGCAGTGACCCCAGTACAATGATACCGGGTGCTTTTGGCCACAAATAAGATTTTTATTTGGTACGAAAAACACCAACTTCAAGGTTTTAATCTAATAAGCAGTTCCCATGCATATGTCAAAATGATATAACATTTCTTGAAAGTTGTGACAACAGAAATAACTTTGTTCAAACCCCTCTAATTGTAAGTATCTACATATATTTATTTATATGTAGAAATATATAAATATCCAAAAATAATATATGGAAGCAAGACTAGTTAAACTGGTTCCCTCCTAGCCTAGCACAATCCAGGCCATTCTCTGGCCTAAAATATTGATAGAGTAGGTAGTAGCATGAAATGAAATTCCTTCCATTCGTCCCATCTTTCATTTTCTTGTAGCTGTCCATATGACACAAAAAGTACTAGGGAGAAAATAAATCAGTCTGCTAGCCAATTATTTTGCCATTCATTCAACATTTTCCTTCAACACGTGGGAGATCTTTACTGAGTACCTAACAAGGCATGGTGGGAAGATGATCATTTTAACTAGCATGTATATCCTATTTTAAGGTTTGCAAAGCCTTTGACACATTATGTTGTTTGATTTTCATAATAACACTGTGAGGTAGGTAATATCATTAGCTCCATTTTTCCAATGAATAAACTGACTTTTTTCTTCTTCACAGTTTTCTGTTTTCTGTCATTTTTCATTGTCCGTCTATCTCCTAATCCTGGAATGAAGGACCTCCTTTCTGCAGGGGTGGGCATTATGAAGCCCAAATGAGATAATGGATGTAAAGCACTTGGCAAACCTTAAAGTGACATATAAATACCAGTTATCATTATTATAATTATTATTATCTCGTCACCAGGCCTCCAGTCTGGTGATGACTTCATTCCCTTCATTCTTCCACTGTTGATAGAGAAGTACAGTGCGGTTCTGGGAAATGGGCGGAGGAGCAAGGAATGTGTACATGCACACTTTTTAAGTTTAATCTGCATTATTGTCTGCTTTTTTTAAAAGTCCAGGCAATCAACAAAACAACAAATCGAGCCCTTATTTTGTAACTTGTGAAGATTTCTGAGGTGTAATTACTCACACTGAAAATTCAGGTCAGTTTTCCTTGACAATTTCTTGAAAGATGATGTCTAGGCTCTGTTTTTGATCATGGCTTTCAGATAGTCCAATAATTTTTAAATTCTATCTCCTGGATCTATTTTTCAGGTCAGTTGTTTTTCCAAGGAGATACTTCATATTGTTTTCTAATTTTTCATTCTTTTGGATTTGTTTTACAGTGTCTTGATTTCTCATAAAGTCACTAGCTTCCGATTGCTGTATTCTAATTTTTAAGGAAGTATTTTCTTCAGTAAGCTTTTGGACTTCCTTTTCCATCTGGCCAATTCTGCTTTTTAGGACATTTTCCATTTGGCCAATTTTGCTTTTTAGGGCATTCTTCTCCTCATTGGCTTTTTGGACCTCTTTTGCCATTTGGGTTAGGCCATTTTTTAAGGTGTTATTTTCTTCAGTATTTTTTTTGGTCTCCTTTAGCATCACTCTCAGTTTCCCCCCTCTATTTCTCTTACATGCTTCTCAAAATCTTTTTTGAGCTCTTCCATGGCCTGGGACCAATTCATATATTTCTTGGAGGCTTTGGATATAGGAGCTTTGGCTTCGTTGTCTTCTTCTGGTTGTGTGTTCTCATCTTCTTTGTCACCAAAGTAAGATAATGTAGTCTGACTCTTTTTGCGCTGCTTGCTCATCATCCTGGCCAATTACTAGAGTTATAAACTTTTTGTCAAGGTAGGAGTCTATTTCCAGTGTGGAGAATGTACTGTCCCAAGCTTCAGGGGGTTTTGTGCAGCTGTTTTCAGAGACACTTCTAGGGACCTGTAAATTTTCAGTTCTTCCAAGGTACTATGATCAAGGGTGAGGTGTTTACTCCTTTCCTGGCCTGTGCTCTGATCTATAAATGACCATAAGCACTCTTTTCTGCCTTGGAACTGTGAGGAAGATTTCCTCTGCACAGCCACTACAAGCTCTACCACGCCAGCGCTCCTCCTTGCCCCAGGACCGCCACCCAGAACTGTGACCCAGATCCAAGCAGAGGCAGAGCAAGAGAATCCTGCATCAGCAGAGAGATCCCTGCAATCCCCCTCTGATCAATTTCCCCCTCAGTCTGTGGGCCAGAAGCTCAGGAGGCAGCCCCCACCCCAGGCCGCACATGGGAAATGGAGCTGAGACCACCCTGTTTCTCTCTCTCACTGCAGAAACAGACTTTTCCCACTGACCTAAGTTGTCTTTGGCGTTCATGGGTTGAGAAGTCTGGGAACCGCCACAGCTGCCCGTGATTCAGTCCTCTGAGGACCGCTCCAGGTTCGCTGTGGCCTGCACGCCCATGCCAAACTGCGTTCTGCTCCCAGCCCGGTGTGATATACCTTTCTGATCAACCATCCAGATTGTCTTGGGCTGGAAATGTGTTTCACTCTGTCTTTTTGTGGGTTCTGCTGCTTTAGAGTTTGTTTAGCGCCATTTTTAATAGGTTTTTGGAGGGGTTTGGGGAAAAGCTCAAGCAAGTTACTGCTTTCACTCCGCCATCTTGGCTCTACCCCCATGGTATTGTTAAAAATACAGGCCTGGGACCTAAGATGGTGGAGAGAAAAATTGCTCATTGGTAGGCTGAGTCAATATAATAAAGATGAGAATTCTACCTAAATTAATTTACTTATTCACTGCCATACCAATCAAACTGCCAAAAATTATTTTATAGAGCTAGAAAATATCATAACAAAATTCATCTGGGAGAACAAAAGGTCAAGAAAATGAAGGAAATTAATGAAAACAAATGTAAAGGAAGATGGCCTAGCCATACCAGATCTAAAACTGTACTATAAAGTGGTAATCATCAAAACTATCTGGTACTGGCTAAGAAATAGAGTGATGGATCAGTGGAATACATTAGGTACATAAGACTCGGTAGAAAATGACCATGTCATCTAGTATTTGATAAACCCAAAGACCCCGGCATTTAGGACAAGAACTCACTATTTGACAAAAACTGCTGGAAAAACTGGAAAACAATATGGCAGAAACTAGGTATAGATCAGCATCTCACACCATATACCAAGATAAGCTCAAAATGGGAATGCAATTTAGACATAAAGGGCGATACCATAAGAAAATTGAGAGAACAAGGAGTAGTTTACCTTTCAGATCTATGGAGAAGGGAAGAATCTATGACCAAACAAGAAAGAGAGAGCATTGCTAAATGTCAAATGGACAATTTTGATTATATTAAATTTAAAAGTTTTTGCACAAACAAAACCAATGCAACTAAGGTTAGAAGGAAAGCAAAAAACTGGGAAAGAATCCTTATCAAGAGTGTTTGTGATAAAGACCTCCTTTCTCAAATATATAGAGAACTGAGTTAAATTTATAAGAATACAAGTAATTCTCTAATTCATAAATGGTCAAAGGATATAAATGGACAGTTTTCAAAAGAAATTGAAGCTACCTATAATCATATGAAAAATGCTCTAAATCATGTTGATTAGAGAAGGGCAAATGAAAACAACTCTGAAGTAATACCTCATACCTATCAGATTGCCTAATTCGACAGAAAAGGAGAATGATAAATGTTGGAGGGGATGTGGGAAAACTGGGACATTAATGTATTGTTGATAGAGTTGTGAACTGATCCAACCATTCTGGAGAGCTTTTTGGAACCATGCCCAATGGGCATACCCTTAAAATGGTGCATACCCTTTGACCCAGCAATACCACTTCTAGGTCTGTATCCCAAAGACATAAAAAAGGAGATAAGGACCTATCTGTACAAAAATATTTATAGCAGTTCTTTTTGTGGTGGCCAGGAATTGGAAATTGAGGGGATGTCCATCCATTGGGGAATGGCTGAACAAGTTGTGGTATATGATTATAATGGAATACTATTGTGCTATAAGAAATGAAGAGTAGGCTGATTTCAGAAACACCTGGAAAGACTGATGCAAAGTGAATTGAGCAGAACCAGGACAACATTGCACACAGTAACAGCAATACTATGCAATGATGACCTGTGAATGACTTAGTTATTCACAGCAATACAATGATTCAAGACAATTCCAAAGGACCCATAATGAAAAATGCTATTCACCTCCAGAGAAAGAACTGATGGAGTATGAATGCAGATTGAAGCAGATCATTTTTCACTTTCTGTATTTTTTGTGTTTTTTTTTCC